AAGAACCTCAGATTACAAAAATAGTGTTGCAGCACTTTGACATCACGAAAAAGGGACGGCAGTTAGATATTAGGAAAATTGAAAGTTTTCAATTATTAAGGACATAAAGTAGTCACATTATGAAAGCTGATATTTCAGATTTTCAACCAGGTAGACGGTACTTTGAGTCACTGAATCGTGTTTTCATTTAGATCAAACCCAGACAGTAATCATCGGCTGGCCAATGGTAATCCAAACCACCACCCTTCTTTCTGTCTTATCACCGCGTAAATTAAAACCTTCGTTACTTACAACCAGTTTCATAGCCTATAAAAACGCAAACTTCAAAGTGCGAATAAACCACCGAAGCCAAAGTGTCAGTTACTATCAGTGATCAATACTAGGTTGAAACTAAGAAATCTCCCCAATTTTCAGATGAACTACTCTCCTGAGACCATTAGTAACCTACTTTGAGATGAGGATTTGTGACCAGTGGGGCGAACCAAGTCGGACTAGCACTCACCGATGGCACTGCATAAAGGTCGTGATATGACAGAGGTAGAAAAGTGTGGATCATTAAGTTCCGATTCAGTGGCTCAACGTTAACGTGCTTGCCATGAAACCTGAAGGTCAGAGTGTGATCTCTTGGGATGCCACAAATACACATTGCTGAGGAGTTCTACACTAGGAAGAAACAGTTATCCAGTAGTATCGGTTTTTTAATGGTTCTCCAACTGAAATCTGTCCTTAGAGAATGCCAACCTGGAATCAGTAAGCCCCAACAATCCCCCAGGTTGAACAATCTTATGGTTTCGACTTCTAACGGAATTAGGTCGTGTTACTCAACAAAATACAACCTGGTTCATTCTGAGATCGTAATATTCTTGATTTGTACAACATACTACTGTTCACAATTTCAAAGGATAGCTATCGTTTAAAGATGGAAGTTAATCATAGAGTAAACTGGCTTTTCTTAAATCTCTAACAACAGGTATTTTTAGAATCGAAACAGACATGATCCTCTTTTTCATTAGACCGCAGTTCTCTAGTATCGGTCAGTGTTTAGTATAGCTTGGTATATTCCTTTAAGAATTAAATAAACAATAATATATCGAAACGATTAGAAATGCCAAAATACTCGCTGTTAGCTTTTGATGGATAATTCAGTTGCTAAAGGTTCACTTAACTGTTTACCCGTCCACACTTAATCTCGTTCTTTTTATTTTTTCATCTTCTAGATCTCCACACTATCATATTCAGTCTCAGTCATTCGATGGTACGCATTCAATCAAGATTAGAATTCATTCGTCGAACGATCAAAAATTCTTAATCATCAAATATACTTTTGTTGCGACCGGTTCTTACGTAAAGATTAGATAGGTACAAATAAAACTGATGCTCACTGAGCTCAATTAAAGAAATCATATTTTAACAGTACTTAACTCTAACAACTTGATCACTCAATAAAGAAACATTACCAGTAAGATACTGTTCTACATAAGAAAAAAGCATAATGCTTTAGAAAGTCAAACTTTTAGATAAAGAAAAATGGGCAATATTTTTGAACAATAAAATTAGATCAATAGCGCTTAAATCACCTGATAAATGAATGTCAACGAATTTAGTATTCAAATATGACTATAAATTAGAGTAATTCAGTGGATTTCATATACTGTAAATGTCAGGTGGAAAAAGTAACACTTCTCAAGTTATATGGCGTCAGGCTTAGTTATGTAAGGCGTGGGCGAGCTGCATGTGATACTGCTTTGGGAATACGACATGACATTTAAAGCTTTATTTGATGGCCTGCGTCTACTAGGTTCACTGGGATAGAACTTCTCACCACTTTCACTGCGCTCTTTCTGAACCAAGCCGGATAAAGATCTCGTATCCTGAGACGAACCTGCCTAATAATATGCCCAATGTAACTTGATCTACAGGTACACTCAAACTAATATATGAAAGATGAAGGGTTAAAATTAGATAGGCTATCCATGAGTTTAGGATTGAGCATTGGCCAACTACTGAAGGATATGCAGAGCCGACTTGCATAAAACCTGCTACTGATTCCTCTAGCTAGGCGTTGTGATAAAGTATTACTTGGAGCTTCTCCCTTTAACTGCGAAACGCATAGACAAAGGTTTCTTCACTATTATCAGTTCTCAATATAATCGATCTTAGCTTCGACGAACTTAATCGGATATCCGTTTTCGCTTGGAATATCATGTATACAAAGTAGTTCTTCCTCCATACACTTCTTCGAAGAAATCGACCTTACTCTAAGCGTCGTGCACCCGATTATGTCACATTTGTAATTCATCGACATGAATCCGAGAGAGTGCGTATACTGTGCCTTAGACGTCGGTTTGATATATATATATATATATATATATATATATATATATATATATATATATATATATATATATATATATATATATATATATATATATATAGCAAGCGATCTTATAGTGTTTTGACTGAACTACTGAAAGCCAAAATAAGTAGCACAAGCCAAGCGAATAAAAAAATCAAGACGACTCGTTAATTAGTTTGGGAATCAAGAATGAGGCTTACATGGAAAACACATTTTAAGTCAATGTTTTGAGCATCACGATATATTCCTGTGCATCGTTTCGTTTAATTTTTGTACCTATCTTTCCTTAAAGTCCATTCAACTCGACATGGCATTGGAACGGATAAAAGCGTTTAAAAGTCGTATATACAACCATGATAGCCGTCATTTATGCAACTATATGAGGATAGAGAACGTAACATACATCGAGTCCAAAAGAAATTGCTTTTTTAAGGTTGCCAGTACTGTACGATAATTCCTAAAAGCATATATAAAATAAATAGAAAGTGTACCCCTTTACTCATATATTCTTTCTAGAAAATCTAACTCTTCAATGATAGTCTTTCAACAAATTTGTGTCATTTACAAATAATACTACTGATTTACTTCCTATCAGATAGTATTTAATCTGGGCACATAGGCATAGATGCCGGGAAGCATATCGAAAGAACCGAGTCAAATTCAAAAAGGAAGTTAAAAGTTTAATTAATCAAGACTGCAGTAAATAATAAAAAGCACTTTTCAAAAGTTGTGTGTACAATTGTTAAAATCCAATCAAAACTTTTATCGATGTCCGACAGGTTGAGATTGAGTAAAACCATACCATGTGGGACTCGTTTATAGCTTAAAGGAAAATTACTCTAATGGTTTATATTGCTTTGATTAATGCACTAACATCTTATACATAGTAGAAAGTCAGACAAAAGTGCCGGAGTTCAAGTTGTCATATGCGGAAACAGCATTATATATCCAGATATATACTCTTTAGTGGTTAGATTTTAGGACTCTTTCGATAATGCGCCCCACCCAACTTAGGTTTTATGCTAGTGAGTTGTTATCAGTAAGGTTTATCGAAATATTTGAAGAAGCATTTTCTTTTCAAAGATATCGAACTGCACTTCATATTTCGGAGAGTTTTGTTAGTCAACTTTCGCATCTTCTTATCCAATCAAACTGTCAGAAGGTGGCTACAATAAGTCGCTAGTTATTGAACACATTTCCGTCATTTACTTTGTAAATGATGTTTTAAGAAAAACCCTGAGTTTTACGTAAATAATCGTGGCATTGAAGTAAAATAGTAACTAACACTCACTAACAACATCACCCAATATTTCGATGTGCTAAACTATCACGTCACTTTTACACCCTATAGGATGCAGAAGCAGTTTATAATTATAGAAGTTTATTTCTCAAGATTTGTTTGAGTAGTCCTTATCATACCAAGACCAAAACATGGTCACAACACCTTACGTAATTAGTAATAAGCACTAAATTCACTGGGATAATAAACTCTGTAGAGGATGCATATATTAGCACTTACTGGGAAAGTAGTACGGAAATATAGTGAGACCTTTCACAAAATAAACTTAACTTTCTGTTTAGAGTAAGTTAATTGAGGTCAGGCTGACGAAATCAATGTAGAGCGTGGCACAAATATTCACCGATTCAAGTTGCCACACTTCATAGTAGCGTGTAAAAGAATAAGTAGGTAGCAAATGAGTTATATCAAAGTACACCAAAGTGTATGGCAGGATACAAAATTTGAAAAATGAAGGTTAATGAAAATGACCGAACTGTAGAGGATGTCAAAGAGTGAATATATAGCTGCACCGATGTGACATTTTCAGAAATGTCAGGAACAGTATCCAACCGAGGAATTTTATTGGCTCGAGGAACCCGGTTAGACAGTCTACACCTTACTACATGGCTCAAACCAACAGTCAGACACTTTATGAGCTGATGCCATGTCTTGGTCGAGTCAACCTTTTGCATAGGGAGACATCAGAAAGGTCCGCTCGTCATCCATATGAAAAACCTTATTGCTGATGCGCCTTGTTCAACCAGCAGCAAGGATTCATCTTCAGAACCTCAAAGTAACACAGCTACTTACGTTATAACAGTAACTATTTTTGGTCTTACCAACAAACCTTTATGTGGTAGGACCTCAAGGAAGGAATGGTTCAGGCAGTATATCTCATTCGGTCATTCGGATATCCAAGGATTTGAGACGGATTAATTATCACTTGGGCTTTTTAAGATGACCTTCTCGCGAAGTTCGAATAACTCAAAATAACTACTAAACAGTTTTAAGAGACTTAAGAATATCAAAGACGTGAAGACGTTTTCACAGAAATGATACATTCTAACCAACCTAATTTTAGTTTGTTTAGAGTATTTACTCACCAATATTTTTCTCATTGTCGTCTGATAATAAATGAAGGTTCTTATTACGGTGAAGAGCTGGACTAAAGACACCAGCCCACAAATTGAATTCTTATTAGAAGATTGAATGTGATCACTTTAAGCAAGTGTCAGCGATTTCATCAAGCTTGATGATGAAATGTCTATCATAAAAATATAACAGCGATGAGCAAACACAGGATTTATATCAGCTTCACTTGACATTTTTTTACTCCAACACAAAATCAAAGCAAAAACTTATCAGTTTCAATTTATTCTTCACAATTTTTCACCTCACTACAATATGTGACTCTACTCACCAACTGACTTTAAACTTATGGAAAAAAAATTTCCACTACAATATAAGCTTTGATTATTATAAGATGTACACAACTGATGAAATGTGACATAATAAATTGAATTCATGATATTCTGCACCAGTGTTTATTTTTCACCTCTTCAGTCTCAAAAAACTTAAAGTTTCGTGATAATCAAGTATAAGTATGTGGGACAGGGCAGCAGGATATCAGAACACAACAGCTACAAAACATAATCTCAATATATTATTGCAGAAGAAAATTATTAATTCATTCTATGATGATCATAGTAATAATAATGAGTATAATTTTCATTATTTTACAAAAGCAAACTGAAAGACTCTAAATAACACGATAATTACAGACTATTCTATAGACTAAAGACAATGAAGGAAATTGGGATAACTTTTGGTTTATTTTTAGAAATTGGGCTTCATCTGTGAGTGAAGTTGTATAAATGTCCATTAACTGCAAGTAGAATCTTAGAAAAGTATGATACAAAAATTTAGTGGAGTGTGTTTAAAAGCCGCTAACTCCTGCCAAGCATCGAATTTTCTCGTATGTTAGCCAAAATGTTAACGACCATGGTGCCTGTAAAATAAGAAACAGAATGAAAAAAGGATTGACAATTAGACGAAAAGTAAAAACATCAGTGTTGTATGGATCCTCAATGGTGCACCCTACTGGGTCCATTGAATTACAATACCATAATTGATTAAAATATCTGTTTTCAAACAATCCTAGGAATGATCGATAGAATACGACCAGCACTCAAGACTATACAACATAAAATTGGTTGTTCTCTAGTAACTAATCAATGTGTCGAGTCCAGTCTTACAGAAGATCAGTCGCAGCCCAAACAGTACAGTGGTAACATCTCCGACTACAACACTGGATAACATGAGTTTAAATCCCAGAGGGGACATGGATTCCTTTGAGGTTGCAGCTCTACCTTGCTGACGAGTGCCGACAAAAACGAAACCTAGATCCTGAGTTTCCCCAATTACATCAGACCAGATAACAAAGCCAAAGCACAGTCTGATTCCTAGATGTTGAATTTACAGTTCTGTGAGTATTTAACTAGGCCTACCTAGCTAAAACTGTCTAGATTTTTATAGACAAATCGGTTTTATAGACGTACAATTGTATTTATATTGGCTGTCTAGTGACTTTCAAAATAACCCTTAATTCATTACTTAACTGCATAACATAATGTAATGAACTCAAAACAATACACGTGCCCAACCATAATAGCTAGTAGTTTCTTTTTCTCACATTTGTTCAGTTGTGTTCTCGTTTCAGAAGTTTTTCATCACTTTGATTACTATCTCTCTTGTTCCCCTATCTTTCATGTGCTTATATGAAATGTGACGGCGTGAACCGTTACACAATGATGCCAGGCCTTAAGTTGATGCCAATTAACTGACTGAGTTTTCGGATTGGTTATCAGTTGGAGAAACATTGGAAATCTGGGAGCACTAGATAAATGTTTCGGTCAGCATGTCATTCTTTAGCAACTAGGTCGGAATTCAATGGTTCATATTTATGATGTCGGTCCATTATGAATACCAACCTGAAATCTATAAATAAATCCCTACAAACCTCCAAATTAAATTTTCAAGATTGTGACCAAGTACACTAAACTGGACATCATTCAGCAGTCTTCGCATGAACAACTAGGATGAATAACAATCACTTCGTGAACTACCATTTTCCGAGCTATAATGTAGCACACTACAACAAAACGACAGTAAGCCTTACTTGAGAGAGATTATTTTGCTTATGCATTCCGAAGTGAGAAGGTATTGTCATGGAATTGATCGAACATGCAACTGTCATTCATTTTAGGTGAAAACGTTACAGTAACTTAATTCTAACTACAGTTATGTGATTTTGCAGTACTAACGATTCGTTCAAATCAGAAAACAAGATGATAACTATGACATACAATAAACTTTATTCAGGCTCGTTGAATCTACATTACATAAAGTCAGATAAAGCTGAAGTCAGCGAAAACTTCAAAGTTGAAATTACCAAATGCATTTCATAGGAATGATTGATTGACAGAAATAAGGAACAGTATATATGTTAGTGTGTGTTGTTGGCCACGTGTCCATTATCATCCAACATCATTCAAGTTGAATGATACTAGAATCAGCAATTCAACTATTCAAGGTCACACATCCAACCGATTGAAAGAAAACTACATTAAATATAGTCGAGTAATCTTATAAGCTTATCACAACTTATTTCAGTTTTAGGGGATGAATGAATAGTCTACCGGTAGTTTCTGGAGCAAATACAGTAGGTGAGTGAAGACAGCTATTCTGAGACGAAAAAGACGAACAAACAGATCAATGTAAAATGTAGTACTAATCCCCAGCTGTTAACACTTAACAGCAGTATGTAAAGAAAAATCGGAAAGAAAAAATAGCAGAAAAATAGACAAAAGTGTGTGCGAGAAGAGAAAAAACAAGTGGAATTTGTGAAAATGCTCAAGACGTGGAAAATGAAAAACACTGTACCAAATCTACACCATTGTGACTGGTTTTGAGACACATTACCAAGATTCTCCAACCAATGATGTCCATTATCTCGAGAATTTCAGTTAAGCAACTTACACAGCTTAGACCAACAGTGACCAGTACTAACTAAAATGGAAGTTAGAAAAGGTTGGTACCGAAAATAACACACTCCACCTCCCCCCAGTCTTCCGGTGTCAGCGGTATAGGTTCTCTCTCTATCCGGGGTTAGAAAAACCAAACCTCGAACCACAAGTCGTGTGTGACAAACCTCAAGTAGATGTTTAATAGGCTCTGCGGTCACAAGAATCTTCACCTTTTTCAGATATCTTAATAACAAATAGTCTTCCACGGTGTGAGAGCTAGGAAGTATTAACCACCCACACGCTTCCAGTAGTGCACAAGACCCAATCAAACATAACCTATCCTCCTCAACTGCACCTCCTTTGCCTTCACCTCCTGATATTCATGTTAGGCTTTTAATGCCTTACCCAACCTCTCATGCTGCAACCATTGTCAACGATCAAAACCTCATTCCCAGCCTTCTAAGATCCCGCCATCGATTGCACATAGGAGCTTTCAACGTCCGAACTTTATGCCGAGTCGGAAAGTGAGCATCGCTCGCCAAAACTCTGGGGGTCCCTAGGCAAGGATATATACTGTCTCCAAGACATGTATAGATGACCCGAGTACCGTTATTAAATTGACCTCACCTGACCATAGTAGTGAATCTTCAAAATTCACCCGAAGATACAATGGATAGCGTAGATATATCAATGAGCCGTAGGGTAGAAAGTGTGCTTCCCAAGTGGATAAGTTAACAGCCGTCAGTGGGCTGTTCAACTGAGTGGATCTGTCGGAACTAAGAAGGATCGTGAGGCTAGGCGGTGCTTATTCGTAATCTCCGCCTGCACACGTACCAACTATAGCTCGGATAATGTGAAGGACCAATTCTGTGAGCTGTCAATTTTTCTACAGAAAGCAAAACGTTCAGATATAGTTATAGTGGCAGGCGACTTCAGCACTCAAGTATGGAAGCTGAGCCAATTGTAGAGGCATCCTAGTGGTATTTACGGAGTCTCATACCAACGAACGAACAATGGTGGTCATCTGTTGCAATTTTGTTCTGACAGTCACTTATTTCTGACCAGCACTAACTTTAGGCACAAAGAGAAACACCTTCTTACACGGCGTCCGCCGATATCAAACCAACGATGGACACAGATAGATCACATTACCATAGGTCATAGCTGGAGGATTGCCACCCTTTCTCGAGTACCAGTTTGGACTCTAATAACGCGCTGCTACGCGCTTGTGTACGTCTGCTCCTTATTGGTCACAGGAAACAAGCGATAGTAAAGCCTATCTATGGTCGACTGGAAGACGACGCCAAATAGGCATTTAGGGAAGAGTTAGCTAAGGGTTTATCAGAATACGACAGCAAGACTCATTCTGAAGAAACAGGGGGTGATATTAAGTCTTCTGTAGAAACAGCAGTGAAGACAGCTGGTAACTTACAGCCGAAGGTTAGCAAAAGTCAATGGTCCATGCGAAAAGACTGATTCCAGCTGGCTCTAATCACAAACGAAAACCAATCAAAAGTAAGTTGACCAACAGTCTTCGCAACGATCGCGAGCGGTGGCGAATGGCGAAAGGCAGAGAGATGGAGAAGGCATTGGCGGTAGGTAACACTGAGCAGCTATTTAGACTTAATAACGATAACGGCAACAAAAAGACGATAGTGAATGAAGCTATCACTGAAAAGCATGGAACGCTGATAATCTCCCAGAACACGCAGCAGCTGGAACGTTGGGCAAAAAACTTTACAGCACAGTTCAACTGGTCCGCAGCAAAGCATGAACTGCCCAACATTAAAACTTTACGAAAATGACACGTAGATATTGGCCCTCTAACCCTCTTGGAAGTTGAAATAAACTTGTATCGAACCGGAAAGGATGCAAACCAACAGGACCTGATAGTTTACCACCAGAAGTTACCAAGGACGAAGACAGAAAGTTGCTAATTAAAGTTACGAAGGTACTAGATGACTATATGGAAATCAGAGTGCCACAAACTCGAACAATTCAATGATTATCTCAGTCAATAAGAAAGGAAAGAAATCTTCCAGTGACAACAATAGGGGAATTAGGCTGACGGATTTTTTTTCAATATCCTAGGGTCCACAGTTATCCAACACCTAACTGGAGAATGAGAACAGAAAACTCAAGAAAACTAGGCAGATTCAGATTTGGAAGGGCGTGCATCATTCATAGTTTGGCCCTCCGACAGGTTTCGAAACACAAGCATATTTACCGCACAACCGTCGACATCTGCATAAGAATTGGGCACATTTACCCTTTTGTAATGGAGTAAGTTTATGTGTAGATAATGTCAAATGAAGTTCCCTAGGTTATAAGTCCATTACTATTTTAATGCAAGAGTGATCTCTGTTGGTCATTTTATATTTTGCTAAATCAGATGATACGATAGTGCTTTTGTTTTCAAGATAGCAACTATACAAGTGAAGCTGAATAATTTCCCTTTAATGTAATGTAACTTAGCAACCCTGTGAAGGCTTATGGACTGAGTGAGAAGCCATATTTTTTACATGGTAACGTATAATAAAACGTGAACACGTAAACCATGGTAGGCAGAAGGGTGTTTGATCCTCCTAACCCACTTGTCGAAAGTCGACTGCGTAGATCAATGTGTCCTAGTTCCATAATAACTATTCTCAACCAAATCCGTAGGGATTATGATTGGATGATCGTCTAGTGAAGGTCTGATTGGTCGATGAATTTAGTTGTCCTACTTGGTTTGCAGCTTTCTTTTCCTCTGTTTAGCGTCTTAGATTCGGGCTGAAGAAGCTGCGACTTGCACAGTGAAACGTTCAGAAAAATCTTGTTTTAGTTGTCTAAACACTCTAAGATCATATCAAAGAATGTCTGTACATAACTTTTGTTGTTGACTTTATTGAAATAGTTTTAAATGATAGTCTGTTCTGGAAGTTTTGACGTTCTCCAAGCTTCAGTTGTCCTAGGCGAAACTTCAAAATCAGTCTTATTGCTATCTTCAGTGCTGCCAACCAATTTGAGATATTTCCCAACATATCAATCCTCTGCTTCGTTTTGTGTTAGTGTACACGAAGTTATTATCGATTTTTGCATGACCTCTGTAACGTTAGTCTTTTGTAAGGTGCAGTCAATGATTGGCTTGTACATTATTTTCTGTTATTATTAATTGTTAGAAACCTTTGTACATTCTGTATGTTAGGCACTCAACTTTCGATACCTGGATCACAAGTCTGAACCTCACTCTATCTATTGAAGTTTAGATTAGTCATGAAGTATCGGTCACTTCATCACATACTAGGCGGAAGTCATGAATAAATAAATGTAAATATAGTTCATGAGTTGTATTCAAATTATTGGTCAAGTCTTCTTATCTTTATCAAACAACCCGAAATCATAACTTTCTGTCATGTTTTAATGGTTTCGTATCCGATATCAACCTGCTAGATCATATGATCGAATTGCCAATTACAGTTGAAGCAGTCGAGTTTTATCGTTAACTATCATATCACATAAACTGATGTGTCTTGCGTTTCAATACAGAAATACGTATGTGGATCGCTGACTTATCTTTGTATTCCTATTACTCAGCCATTAAACACTTGTGTTATGGGGAAAATTTAGTGCATGCTGTATAGTTCAGAAAGACAAACAGAAGACTGAAACATTTTCTAATTCCCGCTACATTTTTTGTCGCCCATCTAACCAGTTCTTAAATCAGATGTTCACGTTTGCTTAAATACTCTTAAAGATGAGAGTGGTTGGAGAGGTATAAATAAGGCGAAACAATAGCACATAAGTAGTGTGCTCGCAGAAGAATTGCTGAGAATTGAAAGCTGATGTTGGCTGAAGTAGAGTTGGGTTGTCAAAAAGCTTAAAAGTGGTTTTACCAAGACACTACACTAATCCATTAGGTCTCTGATTGGTGATCTGAGCCTTTTAGGGAGATGTGAGCCGTCTGATTGAGGATTGACGAGATGACAGGAATCGGTGATTAGAGACTCTGTGTGATGTGGCTCAAAGTATATCACGATTAGGGGGTTTGTACATTCTTTGTAGTCCTCGAAGGCTTGCATATTTTCACTAACCTTCATTCATTTATTGTCTGGTCTCGTTAACTTTTGTCTACTTCAGTTTCTTTCATTTTATATCTGCTTGTGAAGTGTGACAAATTGAGCTGGTTAATTTATGTCAGTTTCTTTGTTGGCTTTTCTACCCGACTTTCGGACTTGTGAAGACTACGAAGAAGACCTTTGGCATGAAAACGATTGATACTCCTTAGCTGTTAGGCGGAGCATGATTGAAACCTGTGTCTTTTTGAGTAGTAGCCAACAAACCACAGCCCTTGAGTCGGACAGATGTGACAATATCAACTTGGCATCACCACCTAGTGGTTCAAGTTGCCGCACCTCATATCATAACAGGAATACACTAAAATGAACGATAAAGCTATGAAGAAGAAACAAGTCAAAATTAGTTAACAGTCACTCAAAGAGATCAAGGAGGAATGAGAGACTACTAGAAGAATACTGCTCCATTGAGGTCGATTCTGACCCATATCACCTACAGTCTGTAGCCCTTAGTTTCCGTTGTCTTGTGGATGCCAGTCGAAAAGTATAGATTTTCCTACTCAGCTAATGCCAACAGCCAGAGACTTTGAATTAATGCTGCTTTTCAGTATGACCACCTTTTCCAACCTCAACTGAATTCTGCTAATATTGCGTGAAAGAGCAGATGGCTACATAGCATCGTAACATATTTCAGCCGACAGAATTGATGAAGGTTCACAACTTCATCAGCTGACATTTTTTCTTCTGTTCAGAACTCCATGTATGACATCTAAGTTACTGATGTTGTGGCCTCACGACACACGGCCTATGCTACGGAGACAATGATGGTTAAATACCTGAAGCCTCCTCACATTCTTCACTTTTAATGGCCATCTTTCGTAGTTATGTAGTAAAACAGAACCCACTGGAGTACACTACACCTGATATTTAATAAACAATAGAATATCACAGCGGTTCCATAAATGACACAGTTTAGTGAAGGTGAAGTAAGCCTTTTGTATCCATACAAAGATTTCACTGGTCACTGACCGACCCACCGGGTCTAGTCTCATTTCCCAATTAATTGAATTAGTCAACGCACCCAACCACTTCACTCCTTATTGTTGAACAGGACGCCAGCAAAAATCAGTCATGAAGCAACATTTTGCATTTCAACGGTGCGAAACAGCTCCAGAGTACCTAGGACGACTGACTTCACACGGATTGATCTACTCCCTGGAAGGCATCTGGTTTACTTCCACCTCCACCTGCGGCTCAGTGGTTCAGGGAGATGACTTTAAATTTTGTCTGGTTGACTTGGAGTATGCAGACGATATTGGTTTGCTACGTGAAGATGCTGACAAAATACACGGTCTTATGAAGGTGTTGAGCAAAAATCTGAGCATGTTTGGCATATACCTAGTTAGCCAACCGCTTCACTTACTTGAGGAGTTGCATCAGCCAGAACGCGATGGTTACTGACAAAATCTCAGTTCAGATAGAGAAGGCCCGTTTGGCACTTGCCAATTTGTGCCACCTCTAATGACAACTAGCGAGATATCCGACTATCAAAGGACAAGTATACTCGGCTGCAGTCAGTTCTGTCCTGTTGTACGGCCGTTGAACGTAGAAGATACGAAATGATTACTGGGTTTTGATCACAGATGTCTTCGTAGTATTGCTCATGTTTAGTGGGATCACCGTGTGAGCAATGCTGAGGTCAGGAGAAGGGTACTAGGCACGTCGACTGATGAGGTCGTGAACCTTTATCGACTGAGATGGTTTCGACATGTACTGTGCACGCCGAGTCACTGCCATGCTAGGGGAAGTTGGATCGAGTTGGAAGAGGGTTCAGGGTGACCGGACCAAGATGCAACAGCAGTTTAGGAAGTCTCTGACAGTTGACCTGAGTTATGTGAGGAGATGTAGACTGCCTGATGACAAGAATCAATGGTTGAGGAAACTTGGTGAAATGACTGAATACCGGTCACAGGGATGAAGGTGTATTCACTCTCTGACATATTCTAAACCCTGAATATTCGCACTAACCTTCATCTTTAAATTAATTATTGTCTCACACAACTTTATTTAATGTGATACCACACTCTTTTTCTGTCCACCTGTTCTTTGCGTACTACTGTGGAGTGTGGCAACTTGAGTGAATGGACTTGTGTGCGAAGTTCTACGTTGATTTTGTCTGTCTGCCATCATAGCCCACGGTGGTTCACAATATCACCAAATAACTAATCTCTTTTAACTAATACGATACGCCCAACCCTTACACTATTGGTTTCAAATCACATGGCAACAAGAGTAATAATGGTCAAACACTTGAAGCCTTTTCATATTCTCCACAACAGTGGTGATGTTTCACTTTTGCTTAAGCAGTTCTTAAGTAACAATGCTACTCAGTTTAATAACCAAAACTGTTTTGCGAGTCATTCACACTATGTTTTCATCCTTAATAAATTGGGGGATAGAATTATGCTAAGCAATAAATGTCAACCTATGTTTAGTGTTGCGTTCTCGTAATCAGTTTATCACTTGACGTTTCGTCCTCAAGTTAGAAAGCATCCTAAATGTGCTGCTCAGTCACTAAACAATCTAGTTAACTCTTCGTTCAAACGATGTCAGTCAGTACGAACAAACCATCAAGTTAAGGCAAAATTATGACATTTGAAAAAACAATGAGTAGTTAAAATTTTACCATACGAGCCCAAATGAGGAGAAAGCCCTTATATAAAGCAGGAAATCCTTCCGTTTTGACAACTTTACAAAAGCAGTCAATTATTCCCTTGTATAACGGACCACCACCGTTTGTCGATGATGGTGGTGAGCGTTGGTTCATTATACGTGTTTTAATCAGATCAGCTGGGGTACCAAGAACTGCAGCTACAAATCCAGAAGTAACAGATGCACAAATGTGAAGAAATGGACCATCCTATAAGTAAATGGAGAGAAAATTAGAAACATTCTTATCAGAAATTAATATAAGCGATTCACTGAAATATTACTGAAGATATACCTACTCCACACAGATAAATTTGCGGTTACAGACTGTGAATTCCAAGCCAGTGTCGTAAAATTGTCCTAAAGAAGCCTAGATGAGTGGTATTCACATAAAAATTTCAAGTAAGAGTGGCAAAACATGGGAATATCTATGAAACTCGCATGAAACTGAATGTCTCCGCCAATACCTTGATATTTTTCGTTATCATTTTAAATCCTGAAACAATCAACCTGCTATCGAGTACGGGCTTGTTTCACGTGGGGATCCCTTGATGTGTTACCTTTTGATTAGTAATCATAAGAGAAAAGAACGAAGTGATAATGCTTTTGACTGGTGAGAGAGCTAAAACCTGGGGAAGGAGTGAGAGCTTTCTTATCTCGTTGCAAACGTCTTGTTAGTGAGTGCCAAAAGACACGTACGAGGCCTAGTAGCAACTATCCCCATTCAGTTGAGAAAATGCACATTGAAAAAGCATCAGTATATTGCTTTTTGTTCAATCCAAGCATAACCCACTCAGTGAAGTGTACCTTGGCCGTTATATAAAATATTTGTAACCATGAAGAAGCCGAATCAATTCGATTCGGTCATTTTATGGTAGACACACACATGTAGTATGGAAAATTCTCCTATACAGTATGCTCTTCATTTTAAACATCATAACTAATTACGGAAACCGCATAAATAAGTATCATACATTTCACATTTAATTTGTACATTATGTGAAACGAACTTATATCACCCCGTTAATCAGCTGGTTCTGATTTATTATTTATCTTTAAGTAAAAGTTTACAGACTAATGGTATTGCTTAAACTGTTTTCAGGTCTTCACTGGAGTATGGACTGAACAGTAATGTATGTACAGCTGTAACCATTACGATAGAAGTACAAACTATTTACCAAGCAACATGTTAGAAAGTCATTAACACACAGGAACAGTCACGACTTCTGACTTTATAGATCGTGTAGTAATGGCAATTATTGTTATTGTCATAATGATGATAATAATGACAGCCTTACTCCGAACTATAATTCTGTTTACGGAACAAAATTCTCAGCAAGCAGTATTGCAGTAATTTACCAATAGTACAACACTCTTCAAATATATTAACAAAGATAATGGCTTAATATATATATATATATATATATATATATATATATATATATATATATATATATATATATATATATATATATATATATATATATATATATATAGGTAATGTTAACTGTTTACTATCACAAAATTAATCGACAAAATTGTTTTTTACATGTTTCCCTTCACACAATATACAGGATAAGGTATAGATGAATTTTTGTTTGTAGTTGTACGTGCATAGAATTTGATGTGTTCACATCTTATCTTCCATGAGAATTGACATGCAGAGAGGTGAGGATGCAGAGGATGCTTGTCATCGGATAAAATATCTTTAACCAGCTGTTTATAAGAGTTAATATGTCTTTCCACAACCGAGATTATCAGTACGGTCAGTGGTGTATCACTCGCTTTACTGACAGTTTTCAAAATCCTACGCAATACAACGTAGTCTTTCTTCCAGAGTCAAGGAAGGAATAAGGGGGGCGGCGGCAGCGGGCAAAAGCAGGAGTTAATGAAACGTAAGAGTAGAGGCTGTATTATGTGAGGCCGCCTGTTTTCTTATGCAAAAGGTCGAGCGAAGGATGTTCAAAAGCCATTTGAGTGGATAATAACTTTTTCTTCAGGTCCTAATAATTATATGTACATTTTAAGAAACTATGCATCAACAATATTGAGATTTTGCTTATCAGTTTGTAAATACCATTATACAGTTGAGGAAGTCAATTCAATTGACGTATAATTTCTCAAGTTATCGAAAAAAATATCCTTTGTTTGCTTAAATGTCTTTTGAATTGTGACGGGAATTTTTAATGATTTCAGGGATTTTCCTCAAAATTAGTAAAATATGAGGCGATTAAGAAAGATCAGAAGAAAAGTATAAACCAAGATGGATCACGCTTGACACATTCTCTACTGAATCCGAGAGTCATGAAACTGAAGCAGTTCACAAAGGTCTTGTTTACTTTTTAAGCTGAAATTAACCATCTCGAATGTGGGACCAAGAGAATTGCCCATAGCCAAACCTTTTGTCTGTCCGTAATACGAACCATTAAACTGGAATTGAACAATTTTCGTGCATAACACCAATAAATCTTTCAGTCTGTTAGATGGAAAGTCTATCATGTCAGCATCACTGCATATGATATCAATTGTTTCGCACACATATTCCTAGGCCACTTAGAGAATATCAAACTAAGTGATGCTATAAAGGAGACAAAATTGTATTCAAGATATGTAGATGATACTTCCATCATACGTGAGGGTTAAGTACATGCAGTGAACCTACTCAAATTTTTCAATTCAAACGTGAAATTCACATGTGAACATGAAACATAAGATGGAATAAATTTCTTCGATTTGAGTATTAAAAGAAATGAAGACGGTTCTATACTACACAGAATTTATCATAAGCCTACTTGGACAGATCAATATTTGCATTTAATGGTTTCTGTCCAATCGCTCATAAAAAAGTCTAGTCAAGACTTTATTTTTAAGAACTACCAGACTATGTTCCAAGAAAGTCATCGAAAATGAACTGGTTACTACACAAAAAACCTTCTTAGATAATGGATATCCCATAAAGTTCATCAATAAACACTTTCAACCTAAAAATGAGAAATTAAATCATACAACCGTGCCAGAAAAACGTATTCATTAGTCGACCATTCAAAAGCGATGAATTGAGTTCACAAAATCATCACCGATCGAACGCATGCATCGCACTAACTTATCCAGCTGCGAAATTAACAATTGTCCATGACAAGAAGAACATGACCACAGAAGCTAATCTAGACGGGAAACCTTCTCATGTTAGCTCCAAGTGTATTTATTTATTCGCCTGTAGTTGCACTAGCAGGTATATCGGAAGAACAGAGAGGATCCTTACTAAACGAATCTCTGAACATGTACTGAAAAGCCTGTCATTGAAAGGTGGAAGCCTACCAAGCACCACTATTGGCAAACACATTCGCGACACAGAACATGCCGTGTACACAAACATAGCTTTTAAGGTAATCAACAAACAAAAAAATAGTAGACTCCTACGCTATGCAGAAGCAGCAGCAAACCGTCGACTGAAACGAGACTTATGTGTACAAAAAGAGTTTCTCGTTCACCTTGAAATGTCATATTGAGTTGTTCATTCACCATTTTATTCTTACATCTCATTGTCCCACATATCATTCTCAAACAATATGCATATTCTCATCATTTTTGATTTATTGTATTCTGTTAAATTTTCTCGTCTTCCCTAGCATATCCCTTTCCATTCGTCTACCATTATCTCAACTACCTTACACACTTTCTTTATTTTTCCACCCTTCAATTAGAATTCCTACCACTATGCGCTGTAATCACATTCCTGTACTACAATCATTTCATAAATAAAATATATTCTGCAAAATCCTAATGAAGTAGAAAAATAAATTTCTGACTTTTCGCGACTTCGTGGAAATCGCTTCCTCAGAGAATAAAACCTGTACAAGTTGTCGATAGTTTAAATAGTAAAAGATGACGAATCAAATTACATTGTCTACACATGATGATAATATAAACATGAATGTCATCGTTATGCTGGTCAGGAAGCGTTCACAATTTGTCTTTGTTTATCAGTTAATTAGTCTGGGGATCAAGGTGATATGAATATGTGTACATGTAACTGGGTGTCAAAGTGTATGAAAAATAAATAAATAATATGGATGACAAATTCGGTTTGTTTGTGTGTATGTACTTTTGATCAGATCATTGCGTATGATGTGTTGTTTTTGGAAACACTGTCCAGGTTGGTTGAATATTTAGACCCTCCTTTCTGTTGAGTGCATTAGGACTCAACATAATGTGAAGTGCCTCTGCTATTCTTCTTTCTTTGTAGTTCGAAAATCCCTTTTGAATAATTTTAGTATTTTCAACATCGATTTTGTGACTGTGATAGATGGCGTGAACTGAGATCACCGACTTGATTTGTAAGTTCTCTAGTTCTACAGGATTATTTGGCGGTCGTTTTGTGTAGCTTGCATGTTCGTTAGCCCTAATGAGGGTCTCACGGTATGATTCTCTAATATAATAGGCATCACAGTCGACACAGCCTGATTCGTAGACACAACTTTGTGTAGCGGTAAAAGGAAGTTTATCTCTTACGTGGACTACAGCATTCCTCAGAGCGTTGGTTGTCTTGTAAAAGGTCCTAATTCGGTGCTTTCTTAAGATTCTTTGTAGCTCTTCCGTTGTACCTTGGTGGTATGGTAGAACTATTGTACCAATCCAAGGATCATCATTTGAATTTTCTCTTGGGTCCCACTGTTCATGTTTCGAATGACATTACTAGGGTAGTTATTGGAATATAATACATCTGATATATTACTCACTTCCGTTTGCCTGTCATCTTCATTCGTGATGAGCCTTGTGGCTCTCTTGAATAAGTTCCGAGCAAGCGAAAGTTTAGCACTGAGTAGATGTGCTGAGTTAAAATCAAGATATCGATTTGAATGTGTTGGTTTATGATAAATCGATAAACTTAGACTTCCGTTTCTATTCCTTTTAACTAAACAGTCTACAAATGGTAGTTCACTGTTTGGATTTTCATGTTCACATATGAACTTGATATGTGGAGAATAAGTGCTAATTAATTTCGAAAAGGTTCTGAGGCCAGATCTTTTTAAAATTACGAAAGTATCATCTACGTATCTGAGCCAAATACGTGGTTTGATGGTGTTTGAAAAGATGATTGATTCATTGTGGGACATGAAAAAGTTTGCAACGATAGGGGACACCGGAGAACCCATAGCTACTTCATTAGTTTGCTTGTATATAGTTTTCCTCTAGACGTGAAGAGTGTCGACTTTAAACAAAAGTTGAGTGCTTTCATGATGAGGCTGGGGTTCAACGGAGATCTATCTGGCAACGTGTAGTCACATTCCAGTAATTCACTTATGAACTCTAAACATTTTTCAATGGGAATACTAGTATACAGTGAAATAACATAACTTACCATTGTTTCATTCCCTGCAATAGATAATTCCGATATTATTGAATTGAATTCATAAGAGTCTTTAGTCGAACTGATAATAGAGCGTTGGAGAGGCTTTAATAATGATGCTAGATATTTAGATAGAGCATATGTTGGAGAATTTGTAAAACCTACTATTGGTCTCAGAGGGACATCGGGTTTATGAATTTTCGGTAATCCATAGAAGCGTGATGAATTACATGATTTTGGATATAGGGAGAACCATAATGAGTCCCCGATGAAAGGTTTCAGTTCCTTTAAAAGTTGACCTGTTTCTGTTTTCATCTTGTTCTTCGTTGCTTGGCACTTTTTTGATCCAATTTCGTCATAGAGACCGGTTGAAAGATGCTTATATGCTTTACCATCGTAGTCGGTTTTGTTCAAAATCACCGTTACATTTCCTTTATCTGCCTTGGTAATTACGACTGTTTTATCCATTCATAGGTTACAGAGGGCTGATCGTTCTTCTTTTGAAATGTTTGGCGGCATATATACCTGTTTTTGTGGAATGCGAGAAACTTTCTGACGTACAATGTGAACGTCTCCATCTGGTAGTTTTTCAATCACTGATTCGACGATGGGTGCCACTTCGAGGGTGCTGAGTGGTTTCCTGTTTAAGTTCAGACCTTTTCTCAAAAGTGTGATCTCATGTTCTGACAGATTTCTGTTGGATAAATTATGGACGACCTTGAAATTGCTAGTTTGGTCTTAATCTGAAAGAAAACCTCATCAGATAAAGACCAAACTAGCTCTTTTTACTGTTTGTTTACATCGTGAACTTTATTATTCATCTATGCTCCCATATGCAGGTATTGATGTTTGGGTTTAAGGGATGTATTTAGTATTTTTATTCTACGGAAATGTATTAAATGACTTATGCTGGACACTAATAGCTTACTATACAAAATTTTAAATTCAATGAGTATGTAAAAGATTTAGAGCTCACGAAATGAATCCGATTCATCCCACAATATTTGTTCTTGCTTTTCAAAAATTTATAAAGGAAACTAATCGTATGGTATTAATTAGTAGTGTACATCCTGATCCTACTTCATGCGCACCTTGAATTCTTAAGTTCCGTTAAGATAATTACAGGAATCTATGATATAAACATATTTCCCAGTTCATAATTGCATTGTGCACCCTTTAATTGTTTTATCAGTACTTTATCTACTCTTGAAAATTCTTTCACCTTAGCCGCCTACTCTAACATTGCAGATAAAGAGGTTTTAACAATTTCGACCACGGTTCGCTCTGTTGTTCATTTTTATTGACGAAAATCCAGTAATTTTTGACAGCGGTTAGTACAAAGATTCCTCATGGTTCAAGGTTTGTAATTATTGTCATTTATTAGTACAGTATAGTAATCTCACACAAATTTTGCGTTTTGGATTTTACGCAGCACTAAAGCGTTTTCTTATTTGTTGAGGAGTCAATTAATCAATTTGGTTTCTAAAGTTTGGAAAGAAGTTCACAAAGCCTGATAGTTGTTCACTTTACAGGTTAAAGACTGTTATCTAGTGAACGAACTGAGATAAGAATTCTAGTTTTTAAGAGTAATTATCACTGGCCTATATATTTCATTCCCTTTTTTAAATGGAATTCATGTCATGATCCTTGTGAAAACTTCGAAATACTTCACAGATTGTGACCCGGAACTTGAAGACTTGCAGCTAACCCATCCTTGTTGACTGGTGATACCAAAGCTCAAAAGATGAAACCTTCAACATTCACTGAGTCGACATAATATGGTATGAAACCATCGAACTCAAATGTCAATGACGAACATCTAAGTTAACTTTCAACCACTGTGGGGGAACGGGTCATACACCACTCTATTACATTTTTGAGAATATTTAAATCCCAATAGTAAGTCACTTGCAAACAATATTCATGAACCTTAATGATTTAATTACGACTTCAAGAGGTCAAAGTTTAACTTATTTTTGCATTGACCGCTGTGATCTAAAGATCAAACATGGCAGTAGTCCAAATCAATGAATGTTTATTTGACTTAAAACAGTGAGAAACATTAACGTGAAAGTAGGACCTAGAAACTATAACACAGTATAATTCCACGTGTCTGAGTACTCGATACATTACTCAATGAAAAAGTATTACTTTTGTTAGATAACATTTCCAAAATAATTTATGATCCATAGTCGTATTATCCTACACATACAACTTTGAGACAAGCGTGTATACGTCCCAATTTTTTATTTTCTTTTTCGCCAGGGTAGCAAAATGCTTCAGATATCTGGAACAAGTGCTGAGCACTTTCTATTACAGATATTTTGTGTTGATTTGATGAACAAAGATCCAATTATCAACCTTCCCTTTCACTCTTTCAGTTTGGTTTTCAGAACTACAGTTCTGTCCTGTCTTTTTTATGACTGAATATGTGGATATGGTTGTGCTGGGATGATCATTTCAAAAATATATAAAAACCTATTAAAACTGGAGTCAAACAATGATAACTCGTAGAACTATACAAACCAAATGTTGAAAGTTGTGACTACCTTTATTTGACAACTGATAGTAAATTGTATTCAAAGTAGTAACCCAGTAAATAATACCGTTTCGCCATCTCAGAAATACACTGATACGAAAAAGTAACAAACGGCTGTTCAACGCTACTTCAAATTAAATCCTATAAATAATACCGATAAAGCATGGAAAGCATTCTCAGCCCAATCAACTTGGATTACTCTCAACTGAGTGCATATCGCGAACAGACATATGCGGAGACTTCAGATGATAGAACTGGAAATCGATCGCAGACGCGCAAATGCATCGTTCATGCCCCATACTGATCTTACCCGTGATATCATATCTGGGTAACAGTTTCAATCTCCCTTATTTTTGTTTTGTAGCTTTCTGTGATTTAGACTAGACAAATTGCATCTCTTTATCTTTCACAATGTTGCTTTGTACCTTGTGGTGGTGACATGAGGTGAGGCAACTGGGAATGTTGTGCAGTGGTGCAAGGCTCAATGCTGATGTTGACCTAATGATTGACTGTTCATTATTATTTGGAGCCTGAAATTAAAACGAAGCGACTGTTCAGTATAACCCATCTTTTCAATAGTTCTCCGCTCAATCTCCATTCATGATGAAAATAAACCTTGTAAAACTGACTCCGCCTCATTCAACAACTATATGAAAACGCCACATGCCAAGTAATTCACAATGTGAAGCTCAGTGATGATTTTGAAGTGAAGTGAAGACAGGAGTGAAACAAGGTTGCCTACTATCCCCCATGATATTCCTGATTGTAGTGGACTGGATCATGCAGCAAACAGTGGGCAGCGAGAAGAGGGGGATACACTGGACTGCGGAAAAGAACCTAGAAGATTTGGATTTCGCCAATGATGACTTGTGCCTGATGTCACATAAACTTGAAGATCTGCAGGTAAAAACTAACAAGTTGATAGAAGAGGCAGCTAAGACGGGACTTCAGGTGAATATAGAGAAGACAGAGGTGATGAAGATACCGCACCAACACCAACAACAACAAACTCCAATCACCGTCAACGGGAGAAACTTAAAGGAAGTAACCTCCTTCAATTATCTAGCAAGCACTGTTTCAACTACAGGCGGGACGGACGAGGACGTCAAAGTCAGAATCGGAAAAGATAGCAAGACAGGCGTTCATTAGCCTGAAACCAGTGTGGAGATCTTCTGCACTCAGCCTATAATGTGAACAAGATCGGGATTTTCAACACCAACATCAAGTCAGTGCTTCTGTATGGCTCAGAGACTTGGCGCGTCACGAAAGGGATTTCCAATAAACTACAGACATTCATCAACAACTGCCAATTACGCTCGCTACTGTAGACCAGATGGATGGCCAGAAAGAATAAGCAACAACGAGCTCTGGGAACGAACCAACCAAGAACCTATCGCCCAACAAATATACAGAAGGAAGTGGAGATGGATTGGACATGCACTGAGAAGGCCGACTGAGGACATCACGCGTCAGGCCCTCGAGTGGAATCCCCATGGGAAGCGACAAGTTGGACGTCCGAGGGTGATATGGAGGAGGTCGTGCGAGGAAGAAATGAGAGCTTCTGGGCTGTCATGGAGCCAGGTTAAAAAGATCTCAGAGAACAGAGGTCACTGGAGACGTGCTACTGAAGCCCTATGTTCCACTAGGAACCTAAGGGACTAATAATAATAATAAAATAAAAACTGACTCAACGTATCTAATAACTCTAAAGTAAATAAAGACATTTTTTCAGAGTAACTTACTTCTAAACGAAAACGTAAAGCATACCAGCGCTTAGCCGTATCATAAGTAGTCAGTTCACCCATATTGACAAGCGCTGCACGTTGTACATTTGGTAAACCTCCACGCCATAATCCAATAATTCCACTCTCAGAAATAAGTTGTTTAGTTGTACGTATAAGACTTAATCGTCTTGGAGAAGAAAAGATTAAAACAATGTGATGCATAAAATAATTTCTACGATGTAAAAAGGTAAATAAATGGTAGTCAGATATCCACATGGAAATAACTTTGCAGTTCAGCGAAGTATTTTTCCCAAATGATTAAAACTGCACTTTTTATCCTTTAAAAAGATCACAAGGAGATCAGATATGCACACATGACTACTGGAATTGACTAAAGCAGAATCATTCAAAGAAAAAGATCAATCACTATCTTTGTATACTAAAATCAGTGTTTTCTGAAATAGTTAAATAATAAATCACTATATGCAGATAAACATGATACTTTTTGTTGAAATGACTCATTCATTCTAGTCTCTTTTTTTAACCGATGGAACTTTGCGCTACATAAAATAGGTGAGTGTGCAAATTATCACATCACATTTTAATACCGTTGACCCTACCATAAAATCCTTGGCTGATTGTCACTTGACACATCAACGTAAACACATTTACCTCCTACTGAATTACATAACAAGCTGACTAGCACTTCATATGCCACGAAACTTGTGACAATACCCCATGGTCCACACTGCGGTTTGCAAAGCACAACATTTTACTTACAACTTGAGTGTCTGATCCTTGTGCATACCTTGAGACAGACAGACAGAACCAACGTAGAACTTCGCACACAAGTCCATTCACTCAAGTTGCCACACTCCACAGTAGTACGCAAAGAACAGGTGGACAGAAAAAGAGTGTGGTATCACATTAAATAAAGTTGTGTGAGACAATAATTAATTTAAAGATGAAGGTTAGTGAGAATATTCAGGGTTTAGAATATGTCAGAGAGTGAATACACCTTCATCCCTGTGACCGGTTTTCAGTCATTTCACCAAGTCTCCTCAACCATTGAATCTTGTCACCAGGCAGTTTACATCTCCTCACACAACTCAGGTCAACTGTCAAAGACTTCCTAAACTGCTGTTGCATCTTGGTCCGGTCACCCTGAACCCTCTTCCAACTCGATCCGACTTCCCCTAGCATGGCAGTGACTCGGCGTGCACAGTACATGTCGAAACCATCTCAGTCGATAAAGGTTCACGACCTCATCAGTCGACGTGCCTAGTACCCTTCTCCTGACCTCAGCATTGCTCACATGGTGATCCCACTAAACATGAGCAATACTACGAAGACATCTGTGATCAAAACCCAGTAATCATTTCGTATCTTCTACGTTCAACGGCCGTACAACAGGACAGAACTGACTGCAGCCGAGTATACTTGTCCTTTGATAGTCGGATATCTCGCTAGTTGTCATTAGAGGTGGCACAAATTGGCAAGTGCCAAACGGGCCTTCTCTATCTGAACTGAGATTTTGTCAGTAACCATCGCGTTCTGGCTGATGCAACTCCTCAAGTAAGTGAAGCGGTTGGCTAACTAGGTATATGCCAAACATGCTCAGATTTTTGCTCAACACCTTCATAAGACCGTGTATTTTGTCAGCATCTTCACGTAGCGAACCAATATCGTCTGCATACTCCAAGTCAACCAGACAAAATTTAAAGTCATCTCCCTGAACCACTGAGCCGCAGGTGGAGGTGGAAGTAAACCAGATGCCTTCCAGGGAGTAGATCAATCCGTGTGAAGTCAGTCGTCCTAGGTACTCTGGAGCTGTTTCGCACCGTTGAAATGCAAAATGTTGCTTCATGACTGATTTTTGCTGGCGTCCTGTTCAACAATAAGGAGTGAAGTGGTTGGGTGCGTTGATGAATTCAATTAATTAGGAAATGAGACTAGACCCGGTGGGTCGGTCAGTGACCAGTGAAATCTTTGTATGGATACAAAAGGCTTACTTCACCTTCACTAAACTGTGTCATTTATGGAACCGCTGTGATATTCTATTGTTTATTAAATATCAGGTGTAGTGTACTCCAGTGGGTTCTGTTTTACTACATAACTACGAAAGATGGCCATTAAAAGTGAAGAATGTGAGGAGGCTTCAGGTATTTAACCATCATTGTCTCCGTAGCATAGGCCGTGTGTCGTGAGGCCACAACATCAGTAACTTAGATGTCATACATGGAGTTCTGAACAGAAGAAAAAATGTCAGCTGATGAAGTTGTGAACCTTCATCAATTCTGTCGGCTGAAATATGTTACGATGCTATGTAGCCGTCTGCTCCTTCACGCAATATTAGCAGAATTCAGTTGAGGTTGGAAAAGGTGGTCATACTAAAAAGCAGCATTAATTCAAAGTCTCTGGCTGTTGGCATGAGCTGAGTAGGAAAATCTATACTTTTCGACTGGCATCCACAAGACAACGGAAACTAAGGGCTACAGACTGTAGGTGATATGGGTCAGAATCGACCTCAATGGAGCAGTATTCTTCTAGTAGTCTCTCATTCCTCCTTGATCTCTTTGAGTGACTGTTAACTAATTTTGACTTGTTTCTTCTTCATAGCTTTATCGTTCATTTTAGTGTATTCCTGTTATGATATGAGGTGCGGCAACTTGAACCACTAGGTGGTGATGCCAAGTTGATATTGTCACATCTGTCCGACTCAAGGGCTGTGGTTTGTTGGCTACTACTCAAAAAGACACAGGTTTCAATCATGCTCCGCCTAACAGCTAAGGAGTATCAATCGTTTTCATGCCTAAGGTCTTCTTCGTAGTCTTCACAAGTCCGAAAGTCGGGTAGAAAAGCCAACAAAGAAACTGACACAAATTAACCAGCTCAATTTGTCACACTTCACAAGCAGATATAAAATGAAAGAAACTGAAGTAGACAAAAGTTAACGAGACCAGACAATAAATGAATGAAGGTTAGTGAAAATATGCAAGACTTCGAGGACTACAAAGAATGTACAAACCCCCTAATCGTGATATACTTTGAGCCACATCACACAGAGTCTCTAATCACCGATTCCTGTCATCTCGTCAATCCTCAATCAGACGGCTCACATCTCTCTAAAAGGCTCAGATCACCAATCAGAGACCTAATGGATTAGTGTAGTGTCTTGGTAAAAACACTTTTAAGCTTTTTGACAACCCAACTCTACTTCAGCCAACATCAGCTTTCAATTCTCAGCAATTCTTCTGCGAGTACACTACTTATGTGCTATTGTTTCGCCTTATTTATACCTCTCCAACCAATCTCATCTTCAAGAGTATTTAAGCAAACGTGAACATCTGATTTAAGAACTGGTTAGATGGGCGACAAAAAATGTAGCGGGAATTAGAAAATGTTTCAGTCTTCTGTTTGTCTTTCTGAACTATACAGCATGCACTAAATTTTCCCCATAACACAAGTGTTTAATGGCTGAGTAATAGGAATACAAAGATAAGTCAGCGATCCACATACGTATTTCTGTATTGAAACGCAAGACACATCAGTTTATGTGATATGATAGTTAACGATAAAATTCGACTGCTTCAACTGTAATTGGCAATTCGATCACATGATCTAGCAAGTTGTTATCGGACACGAAACCATTAAAACATGACAGAAAGTTATGATTTCGGGTTGTTTGATAAAGATAAGAAGACTTGACCAATAATTTGAATACAACTCATGAACTATATTTACATTTATTTACTCATGACTTCCGCCTAGTATGTGATGAAGTGACCGATACTTCATGACTAATCTAAACTTCAATAGATAGAGTGAGGTTCAGACTTGTGATCCAGTTATCGAAAGTTGAGTGCCTAACATACAGAATGTACAAAGGTTTCTAACAATTAATAATAACAGAAAATAATGTACAAGCCAATCATTGACTGCACCTTACAAAAGACTAACGTTACAGAGGTCATGCAAAAATCGATAATAACTTCGTGTACACTAACACAAAACGAAGCAGAGGATTGATATGTTGGGAAATATCTTCAAATTGGTTGGCAGCACTGAAGATAGCAATAAGATTGATTTCGAAGTTTCGCCTAGGACAACTGAAGCTTGGAGAACGTCAAAACTTCCAGAACAGACTATCATTTAAAACTATTTCAATAAAGTCAACAACAAAAGTTATGTACAGACATTCTTTGATATGATCTTGGAGTGTTTAGACAACTAAAACAAGATTTTTCTGAACGTTTCATTGTGCAAGTCGCAGCTTCTTCAGCCCGAATCTAAGACGCTAAACAGAGGAAAAGAAAGCTGCAAATCAAGTAGGACAACTAAATTCATCGACCAATCAGACCTTCACTAGACGATCATCCAATCATAATCCCTACGGATTTGGTTGAGAATAATTATTATGGAACTAGGACACATTGATCTACGCAGTCGACTTTCGACAAGTGGGTTAGGAGGATCAAACACCCTCCTGCCTACCATGGTTTACGTATTCACGTTTTATTATACGTTATCATGTAATAAATATGGCTTCTCACTCAGTCCATAAGCCTTCACAGGGTTGCTAAGTTACATTACATTAAAGGGAAATTATTCAGCTTCACTTGTATAGTTGCTATCTTGAAAACAAAAGCACTATCGTATCATCTGATTTAGCAAAATATAAAATGACCAACAGAGATCACTCTTGCATTAAAATAGTAATGGACTTATAACCTAGGGAACTTCATTTGACATTATCTACACATAAACTTACTCCATTACAAAAGGGTAAATGTGCCCAGTTTTTATGCAGTTGTCTACTTATGACTGTTCGTTTATGTGAGAAGTGATTTTACCAGGTTGGCTAGAATGACATCAGTATGGAAAGATTTGGACCTAAAATCCTCTGAGTGGTCATTGATAGGTATATTAAAAGACACTTTCGAAGAACCATGAGCTCTACCCTTCTTGTTGCAACGGACTGATTAAAACTTAAGCTAATTGTTTTGTCATATAGCTTGAGAATTGGGAAAACGATCGGTTAAAAGATAACTTCCCAACTGTTAACGGAATACACCCAACATAGAACTTCCAGGTTAGGCTTCTAACGCAGCGAATTCGCATCAAGCAGTAGTGAGTTAGTAATATAATTTTCTTTTGAACAATACCTTCCATGACAGATATGATGGATATGACCACACTGAAGCTATGAAACTGACTTACTTGTAACTAACAGGTATTTCAGTAGGCTTAGCAGATTTCGAACCATTTAAATGGGTTTCTGACAACCACCGTCGTTCTGTTTGTAGTCGAACCTAAGTCGAAAAGTAAACATGATAAGTATTAACCGATAACTCTTCCTAGCTGGGATTCGCAATGAATATGTACAAGTTAAGGTAGTCTTACTTATTATCATCAGTGATTTGTCATTGATTATTCTACTGGACCGAATTGATCGGTCTTCGTTGTAATATAGGCTAGCGTACGAATGCCTCAACTTTAATTATTACCTGCTTGGCAGTGGTTTGCAGTGGAATCCAGGATGCGAATTACGTCCTATTTAGGATTCGCCAACTGCATGTATCTGTAAGCCGAATAGGATTAAATGAGCGTTCTGGATTCCAATGCTAGTCTCCAACACGCAAACGACATCATAAGTTGATCTTAAGTATAGCGAATGTAAACAAAAGCAGGTAGTTACTATTTATTGGTGTTTGTAATTATAAGCTTTTATTATTGGATCGAATCGTTCGACCTCTATATGAAAGATGAAATACTCACTAGCATTGAAACCTACCGATAACTCTCCCCATCACATTCTTCACTCCGACGACTATATGGCCGACCCAAAGTGAACAAAGGTGTTCCTCTACGTCCAACAAACGATGTGACTAATTCTTCTTACCATTCAGTTGCAAAGCGGCTCGTCAAAATGCATGAATCAGTAAATAAAAAAAGCTTTTGAAACACAGTCTGAGTTTCAACCTTGTTGATGGAATTAAGGATTTCAATTTGTCACGGAAAAGAACAATTTGTTCGGATGTTATCTCCCTGTTTACAAATGTCCCACCAGAAAAACCCCATTTGTTTCCTGCCTGACTTCATTTAAGCCCATACCATAGACAATAATGTCTCGAATCACTACTTAAAGCGAATTCTACTTAGATGTAATTTTAACATGTACTTCCTACTTGACAACGACATCTACAAGCAGACAGATGGCATGACGATGAGATCGCAGACAGCTTACCTCTTGGCAAACTGAAAAGATAAAGCACCGAATTCAACTCTGCAAATTCGTGCACGTTAGTTCAGTGGGAACTGAGTCACATCTGTTATGTGATGACTAATTATACTACCTGGCTCCCCAAACATCAGTAGATGAAACGAGGTTTGTATGAAAATCAAGTGCCTGCACCAATGAATCAGTTACACCTCTCGGCTAATTGTTTTATAGCAACCTTGAAAGACATTACCTTGTCAACAGTAATCGACGGGTTTTAAAAGTGCGCAGATGACCACTTTGTTATTTGATGAGAATACGAACTTCAAAAACCCGCTTTAAAGTTTCAGTAGTGCTTATCCCCTTGTTAAAATAAACTCTAGAAGAGCAGACAAACTCTAAATTCTACTACCTTCATTAGTAATTGTAAAGAAAAAAAGAAACAAAATTCAGTTCGGAGATTTATTCATAGAAAGTCTAATTCGGACGGATAGCTTCTGAATTTCTAAAGTTCTTTCTTCCTGAACAGGATTATTATTACTTGTCCCTTGGGTTCCTAATGGAACATAGGGCTTCAGTAGCACGTAACCAGTGCACTCTGTTCTCTCCAGTCACCTCAACCAGGTTTCACGACTGTACACAAGCTTTCATTTCTTCCTCGCATGATCTCCTCCATGTCACCCTCGCCTCGGACGCCCAACTCGTCGTTTCCCATTCGAGTTCCACTCGAAGGCCTGGCGCATTATGTCCCCAGTCGGCCTTCTCAGTGTATGCCTAATCTATCTCCACTTCCCTCTGCATATTTGTTGAGCGTTACGTTCTTGGTTGGTTGGCCTTGGTCGACTACTTCGACCTATGTATATGACCTGGCAGTCGTGCAAGGTCAGTAGACCTACTGACTCTAGGATCTTTTAACTTACAAGGCTTATTTACAAGTGAGCTTTTAAGTTTAAATGCCATTGTAATCGCAGCCTTATTGAAGATCCTACGTAGTGTCTCTGAGGTGCCTTTCTTGTATGGTAATATTGATTTTAAATGGTTTCGAATTGTTGTTGATGGAGTAGAAGAAGCTTTCGCGTAACTGGCTGCAGTGTCTAAAGTCACTGCATCACTAGTCCCAATCGTTGTTGACCTCTTTGCAAATAAAGAGAAATAAGAAAGTTGCGGGTAAAACATGGAAATCGAATTAGTTTTGAGTGAGCACCCACTCACATCATAAGTGTTTGTTGAGTCGGCGTTTAGAGGATTTAGACGAAATACCCTGGATCAATCCCACACAAGAGCGCTCCACGGTTCATCTTTAAAGAGTTCAAGTTGTACCTCATATCTAACCTGGTATATTCTATGCTTAGTTTCCGTATTCCCTCTCAGATTGGTGTTACCACTTAAGGGACGAAGTAGATGCCCACAATTGTTTAAGATATTGTCAGTCAGGTCTCGTATTAGTCATCCATATTCTAGAGGATGTGGGTAAGGCACGATCAGTCGTTCATCAAACGTTTTAGACCTAGGTCCTCGAACAAATTTGGTTGACCGCCTGTGGATGCATTCTACACCTAATTTCTCTTTCTGTAGATACCGGTTAAAGATAACAGTCGCGAACGCTAGGTGAGGCTGTATGAAGCCGTTAAAACGTTGGCAATCTAATTGGTCGTCTAAGAGATTGATCATTCCACATGATTTGCTATGACATGCAAGCATATTTAATTTCCCTATTTTATCTATACTATACGACTCGCTTTATTAACCAGTCCTATTTTGATTCCTGACAGGAAATCATTCTGGAATGTTTTTTTTAAATATATATTCACAGATATACAGATATAAGGGAATCAGTTCGTTGAGAAGAACAATGCACATATCTTTTAAAAATATATAGATATAATCTCTAAATCATGTCACTGATACCTTGTTTGTCTTTTTTTATACGCTTGCATTCAAATCGTCATCAATCCCGAAATGTTCATTGTCGTATTTTTAAAATTTGCATCCAGTAAAGTTGATTTAATCTAAGCATACTGCTTAAGATTATAAGACATAACATGATCCATATTTTATAATAAAAGGATAGTCTGAAGAAAAACATTTTCGCTCAAATATCTAATGTTTCTAATTATGCATTAACTAAGGCTATGAAGTATGCCACGTTGGTGCCACTTTTTATATTGACTTTTCTGCCAGTTTGCAAAAACACGAAACGCCCACAGTTAGTCAGTGATGCATAGTTTAATGTATGAAATCAAAGGTCAAGTTAATTTTCAAATAAAAAAAGAAAACGGGTTTTAAGCTTTAGTAAATTAGACATGATATAAACCACGAAATGGTAATATTGAACATAAAACTGTTCCTACTTTCAATGATAAATAAATAAATAGTTAAACTATTTCATAATCCACCTTGATAAGATCAATTGGACTGGCTAAGAACTGTGCGACAGACCCAGCTATAACACCAGTTAACGCTGCTCGAATCATGAAATCGAATTTTTTCTCATGAAGTGGTTCAGTATCGGTTTGTTCTGTGAAGTAGAATAGTTTATAGATGTTTGTTCATTTAAAAACTTTAGAATTTTGAATATGCTCACCTAAATGACCATCCTTAGTTGATTTTACAGTAAAATGGCTTGCAGGTGGTAAATGGAAGATATCTTGACGAATCATTTCATAAATTGGCATTCTAGCTCCCGTATAAACTGTTTCAAAAAAAAAACAGATCGCACAAAGTATTTAGCAAAGTTAGTCTTTCTACGCTATAAACTTTCAATTAGTCTACTGAATATGCCTCAAAAAAAATTCAGAAGAAATAAAATGTTTCAGCGAAGTCGAGCAGTACTAATTCTGTACCATTAAGTTTAGGCCTACCCAGAAAATTCAACAGTAGCATAACAGCTGATATTTCTCCAAAGGTCTAGGTTAACGTCCTCCATGTATTTATTCAAAAATTTCGAAACCATTGAAATTCTAATGGTGCTGTCACCAGAATGTATTGCTTCTAAAGCTTGCTGTTTGGCATCATATTACTTCAAGAATTTGAATGGTGAGTAGTCACTAAATGTAGTGTCAATAATCATTGAAACACTTGAGAGTCAAGTAATGCTACCGGTAGCACGGCAGATGGAAGTACATTCTTCCCAAGAGCCGAATAGCATTTTTAGACAGTAGGAATGATTATGGAATTCTGTTACCAATGACCAACTATATCTCAACAACGATACAAGGTTTGTTTCCTCAACCCATGGGAACTGAAGCTACTAATGCTCATTAGTTGACTGAACTGTTCAGCTCTACTGCACAACTACGAAACAGTTAAATAACGTCAAAGATTTGAGAAGGATACAGGAATATTTTGTTCATGGTATGACGAACGTGTGTTGAAATAGTCTGGTAAGAGATTTATTGGCTCCATTTGAAGTACCAGGTACACAGGATGATAAAGTGGTGAACCTTCGCCAGCTCGGATGATTGGGATATGGGCTGTAAACGCATAGCAACCACTGGCTTCAAAGCACTATAGTTGACGGAGTAGTAGCAGTGGAATGTAGTACTTTGTTGTGTCCCATAATTATTTATTAGGCTGGAGATTTATTCAGTATGAAAATGACAGAATAAAATTTAGGGTGACAGAATTAAGATTCGAAAACAAGCCATGAAAACTATCACTTTGACTTGTGTAGGAAACATCGGATTTTCTGATTTGAATCCTCGTGACAAATGAAATAGATGGTTTGGAACTTCAGGTAATATGAGGTATCCATGCTTTATCGTTTAAATCTTTGATATCTTTTTACGTTTGATTTTTTAAATCGCCAGTATTGTGGTGATTTCTAATTCTTTAAGTTGCTTTTTATTCACTGTATTTATGCAGAGTGTAGTAGCTTAGACTAACGCGCAGTTGGACAAGACCCTGTATTTTTCATGTCTGCTTGACCGGACACAAAGATGAATGCAGCTGCCAAGTAACATAAATTATGAGAATATTAGGGATTAATAAGAATGTAAGAAAAATTGACACTAAGAATACTGTTCTATGTGCACTTTAGATGAACTTATGCCTAGAAAACCGCTGTTTTAAACAGTGTAACAAAACTATGACGTTCATACTTTGTCAAGTTGACACTGGAAATCTACCATAGTAAAATTGTACTTCATAAACTGGAACAATCGCAGAATACGCTGACGTTCACCTACAATAATTTACTTTTGTTTATTAGTTAAAAAGTATCCAGTATTGTATAGCCTACCATTGAAATTTCCTACTTTAAGAGTGAACTAAAGTCATCCATAGAGGTTCAATTAGGAGAAATTTATCAAAGTCAAATAATGCTTCAAGAGGAGACCAACTAACAGTAAAAGCAAACGGGCATAATGTAATATGCTCACTATCTAATAAAAAACGAAAACACGTTCCTCACCGTGATTAATTACACTCATGAAGAGTTGATGCATTGTGAAATGAACCAATCTTTTATAAACAAGTTTGAAATGAATCCTGGTACCCAATGATAATATTTGAAGGAAAATTAATTCTCCTAAGAACACCAATGATTGGAATGTTGGTCAAATACTAATTAATAGATTTCATACATTGATTTCAGGTTAGCATTCATCATGGACTGACATCAATTGTAAAAACATTAGAAACCTAGGAGTAGTGGGTAGCTGTTTCGTCTTAGTACGGGACTCCTTAGCAGTGTGCACACATGACCCCGCCAGGAATCGAATCTTGGACCTTGGATGGAGGTCCCACTATATCGTGAACTGACAGAAGTAGAAAATATGAATTATTGTATTCCGACCCAGTAGCTCAATGGTAACGTGTGGCCGTGGGACCTGGAGGTCCTGGGTTTGATCCGTAGGGGGGTCGTGGATACGCACTGCGGAGGAATCCCATAATAGGACGAAACAGCTGTCCAGTGCTTGCAGGTTTCCAATGTCTCTTTAACTGATATGAATCCATGATGAATACCAACCTGAAATCAATAAATAAATCCCCACAAACGTCTAAATTGAAAGATTTAATATGTTTTGCTTTGTTATTCAATAAAATGTTCCATATTGAGTTGGGTCACCTCTACTGGATTTGGTGTGAAATGTATGAATATAAATCCGGTTATTCAGTTTTCTCTTCACCTACTTACACTGGATTTTAGTGAGTTTGTTGGCAGTGTTTTAATCGATAGCACGGTCTTCACTCCATTCGTGGGATTCTATCACTTATTTCTTTTCCAACTCTGCATCGTTGCATGCTAACTCTGGGCTAGTCTTCGGTATTCACTTTGACTCACATATCTAACAGAATAGTTAGCATGTAGTATTCTTTGTCGAACCTGTTAACTGGATCCTTGAGCTAGTTTCATTTATTTCTGACGGCATCCGTTGGTTTTCCTCTCATTACCTCCAACATACCTCTTTTATATGGTAGAAATTGTCCAACTATGAGTTCTTTTTCTCAATCTAATTCTCTTGATTTCCCGTTTTTTTCCAATATTATTATTGATGAACTATACCAAGTAGTGGTTATTTATCAACACAAAATATTCATTTCTCGGTTCTGGTCTTCAGGTCATCTGTTGTTAAATTACATACTCTATTTGATAGACTTTTATCCATTATTTGTCTGATCTTACAGTCTAACACAAGTAGTTCACCGAATTCATTTTCTATTTCTACAGTGAATTTCATTGCATCGAATCGAATTGAAATCCACTCAGCAACCTTATTCACATTCGTGCAATAGGTAGTGAGCTACAACTACGGTGTGAAGACTATTGATACTCACTGGCCACCCAAATCTCGGTAACTGAAGCGGTGTTTGAACCCGCAATCCACTAGCTGAAAGTCAACCCTCTAAACCACTCAATAAACCATAACTCAATCTTTTACTGCATAAACATGAATGTTTATGTGTGCATGAAATTGTTCCATGTTTTTGTTATCATAATTAGAGTGTCATTCATGTATCCCAACCATATTTGAATGATGACCAAGTGATTCCAAAGTACTTTACTCCGAAAGATTCATGAATATGTTCACTATTATTGATGATATTGGCGGTTTCATAGACAATCCTCCAGGTTGTTGATATAACACTTGTTTGTTTGCTAAACTCATGAAGATGGGTTGATAACATTACAAGATCAGTCAGTCTATATTACATACATCATGTATCAGTCAACCATGCAATTACTGGGTAGCGATCCCAGCTACTACAACTCAAGAAACAAAGCATGAAATAAAGACCAAGAAATGTGAACAATCTAAACAAAAGTTGTAAGGAGTAATAACAATTAAAAGGGATCATAAAGCGAATAACCACAATGTTGAAGTTTTACGCTCACATTTCGCGTCGGTTATACTTGTTTTATGTATATCTTGGTTGTATTGTGTTCTCTGAGCTGGGTTGTTTAGTCGTGTTTTATGGATGCTTCTGTCCCTAGAAAGAGAATGAGTGGAATCTATGGACAATAAATTACCCGTATACGTGACCTTTACTCTCAACGCCTTCGGTAAGGTGCCTCATAGCAGTTAAGTGCAGAAGCTTAATGTATTCGGTATTGACGATAATATTCAAGAGTGCATTAGAGACTAGCTACATGAAAGGAGGTGGAATTCACAAGTGAGACGATATCTGAAAGAAAACCAATGACGATATCGATGTGCGGTGTAGGATGAAGTAGGATTGTTTATTTCTTAAAGATTTAAGGCGCACAAATCAGGACATGAAGGACAATTCATGAAGCCTCTGACTGCCGTTTTAAGTCGTATAGGGGGATGTAGACTTCAAGATCAGGGTCTTCGTAAGAAGTGAAGTCGGCAACTCTGTGATATGACTCAGAAACAGTCTCATCGGTGAACAAGCATCCACACCCGATCTTCCTTCTGACCGCTGTATCACAAATTGTTATTTGTTTTTAATTCTCTGCTTCTATTCTCATGGCTTTATAACTGATTTCATCATCTTTACAGTATCTCTACGCCAACGTATTTTATTCTTGAAGACGTTCAGCAAAAGAACTGATACAAAATGGATAGATAAGGAGTTTAAGTTTTATCACCTGAGGTAATATTCACAAGAACTTATAACTGCGTTGACTTGATCTCAAGCAGAGTATAGGATTCCATATACAGTAAGCATCGACTGGATCTCGTTACCACAAGAGATACCACGTGACAGCTTCTTCTGTGAGTGTTAATAGGAAAACCGGAGTTGCAAAGATAACAACTGGAAAAGTTAAGAAAAGTTGACAGATCGATCTTTATTACTGGGAACTGAATTTTGAAAAAGAATGTGAGCGATTCATATCGAGTCCCTATACCGATAAAGTGGGAAGGAAAAAAAAATACTTACTTATGTGTCTACAAAGTGCTGGACACAAACCTTGCCACAGTTGAAACAGTCCCTCATTCTTGACCACGGATGCACAAATTTTAATAACCCCAGGGTATGATGAGGACTGCAATTCCCCATAAACTTGAGTTCGAGTTTTTAGTATATCAAGTGGATAGGTAACTGTACAAGCTCATCTAAGTAGGTGTCGTTACAACTAACTTGTCTCAGAAACAAATGCCGCAGAACAGCACATGCAAAACCGCAAGCTTGATGGATAGTCCGTTTTTGCAGCTTCCAGCATTGACTCGAGATAACCACGAGCCATTTAGTTTGACTTCTTACTGATTTTTCAGGCAAATCGACGAAAAATAGTCCACTTACTAAAAGACAAGACTACATTCTGAAATAGAAACAAAAAAGTAAGGGATGGGGGAAGAACTCATACTAAGTTAAAAAATGAAAAGAAATAATGACAAAGCGACTTTATGTCTTTTAAAATTGGCATGGTAAAATGTCCAAGTAACTGCCGAAAAACTTACAAGTAAAACAGATCTGAGACAAGAAATCAGATGCACTAGAGACACCCTGATCATCAACAATTAGCCTTCTAAATTACTGAATAAATTCCTTAGTAGTCGTAAGAAAAATATCCCAAACTGATAATGAAGATGAGTCGAAGGGAAAAACTAGACAATGGGGAAAGCTTTAAAAGAAAGCTGAATTGGAGGGGAGGGGAAGAAAGGAAAAGTAGATTTTAATAGTTACATAACCAGTAACAGACGTCAAAGGTAATAATAATAACAATAATAATAATAATAATAATAATAATAATAATAATAATAATAATAATAATAATAATAATAATAATTGGAAGTCTGGGAGCACTGGAGGGCTGTTTCGTTCTAGTATGGGACTCCTCGGCAGCGCGCACCCATGACCTCACTAGGGGTCGAATCCACGACCACTAGGTTCCGTGACCAGCATGTTGCCGTTGAGCTACTGGGTCGGAAGTAGGAAATATAGACCATTGGGTTCCGACGAAATAGTGCTCCCAGGTTTTCGATGTTTCTTAAACTGACGTTAGTCCATGATGAGTACCAACCGAAATCAACAAATAAGTCCCCACAAAACCTCCAGACTGAATAGTAATAATAATAATAATCACGGTGGAAATACTGTGAAGAGAGAATTCAAAACCTCAGGTAACATGTGTGCTTTTGGAAGGGAAGCGTAGTCTTACCGTGGCTTAGCATTTTAGCTTTTGTTGCGCAATAACACAGGGGAAGCTCTGGTTCTTAATAATGTTCTTTTCGAGCTTAAAGTTCAATAAATATGTCTTCATTTAGAGTATTTTTATTTTTACTGAAATACTGAGGATTCAATTCAATCCAAAGTTTGGTGTAATTTATTAACGCTAAGGTTATAACCTTTTTCCAGAGTACTTTTATCGGTAAGTTCTTCCTCATTACATGTTTATATGATAATGGTCGCTAAATAGTGTAAAAGGCAGTTGTTGCCAACTTGTCCCAGCCGGTATGCAATGTGACACCTGTGATGGATGGTTTCACGATGCTTTCACAGATTTGAAACAATCTAAACTCAGTAACCCTGGTTTCAAGTAACACTGCCGTTTATGCAGATCTGAATTAAAGGATGCTCTTGAGAACATTATTAAGATGTTAACGGATGTCAGGAACAAGCTGATAACTAGTCAAAAAAAGGTGAATAAGGATCTGAAAAACTCGAAAGCAACGCCTGGTAACACAAGGGATTTGGAGTTCAGAAATCGACCAACGGAAAGATTGCTCAAGTTATTCGGCAAGAGAAAGGAACGAGTTTGACTGAAGACATGATGCACCTCGGTAGTAAAAGAACGTCGACAGTCTTACAACCCTTCAGTAGAACTTTATCGAGAGCCGGTGAGGCAGAAAACACAACAGTCATATCAAATACAGATGTTCAAGAAGGAGCATGGACATCTATTGTACGAAACAGAAGTAGCCAATTTTCAACTCAAGTCAAATCCACCGAGTCTGAGGTAGGAAGTGCCGAGAACAAGCTCGAAGAGGGTAAAATGAAAATAAAGGAGGCTAAGACTGTCTGCAACAAAATGGAATCGCCAGCAGACTGGGTGAGCCCCCACAAGCCTTTCAAACAAGCGAATGAGTTGCCCAAAAACGAGGTCAGGGAAGCAGAAAAAATAAGGCCAGATGAAAAAGATCTAAGTGTCAACAGTTGAAAGAATATATTACTGCTCGAAATGATTCTGTCCTTATCATGAACCTGACGGACAGTCCCAAATCCCTATACACCCCTCAGCATAAGGAAGATAGGGTTCTGTGGGGAAACATACGTACCAAACTCAAGTTGGATTACATGAGGCCAACAGCCGCAACTAGGGTCTCATGTGGTCTCGGTCCAGTAAAGAGGCATAAGCCCTGACTCTTAAAGTTGACATTTTTCAATTTTTGGTGTGTCTATTAGAAATGTCACACAGTGAAACAGTATTATTTACTGGATAACGTTTAGGACACAATTTATTGTCTATACTCACATCAGTTAACTTCACAACTTTGAGACAGTTTATATATTCCTAATTTTTTTTTCTTCTCTGTGATCACAAAGGTAGTAGAATTTTCCATATATGTGGGAAGGGTGCAGAGTCATTTCGACTGCATGTATCTGGTATTGATTCGATAAACAAAGGTTTGGTTAATAATTTCTCCCTCCACCCAACTAAGTTTTTAACGCTGTCGTTCAATCCCACCCTAAGGTATGACTGTGCAATCGGGTGCATAGCTATAACTAAGCTTTTCTGGTTTATTATTCTAATTAACGCTGGTCGATCACTTTGATATATGGGAAATTCTAGTGCCCTTATCACAAAGGAGAGATTAGAACTATATAAACTGTCTCAAAGTTGTGCATTTACCTAGTATGAACATGAAAAATAAATTATGTCCGAAACGTCATCCAGGAAATAATACTGTTTCACTATGTGATACTTCTAATAAACAGACTAAACTGGAATTACAATCTACCCCAGTCCCCAAGTTTTACCGCTACATTAATGAAAATTTTCAACTCAGATGATGTTGAGGATGTGTTGCTAGTATCCCGGGTGCTAAAAGCTGAAGAGGACGAAAGGATACTACCAAGTGTCTCACACTCAGAGAGAAAGGCTATGAAGGAACTCTCCAGTGACAGTCAGGAAGAATACTCTATGGGAAGGAAGCTGATAATACCCAGGTACCAAGGACGTCTACTACGACTGCCGTGAGTGGAAATTCCTAAGGAATACAATGAACCTTAACGGAATAATGACAGAACGTCTCACAGGTGCCTTAAAAGGATTATAACCCTAGACCAAGGCTAGTCAAAGTGGCCTTTTTGTTCTGTCAAATGGAAGGATCCACATAGTAGGGATTCTGCGCAAACA